TTCCCGGCAATTTATTTGTTTAGAAATCGACACTACTACCAACTCTGCAAGCATTTTATAAATAATCTAACGAAGCTTTTTTGTCCATGTTTAGTGTCCACGTTGTCATTACCAATTAACAAACCCTAAGCCTTACCCTTTATATCCTAACATCAGTATGCAAACTCTCCATACTATGCTCTATAAATTTCCTAGGGTGTTGACAAGGAGAATTTGTTTAACAATTTAGGGCTTCTTTAGTTGGTGATCATTTCGTTTACTCTCGTGACCTAAATGTGTGATTCGTGGGTCATATTGTAAGGAGAAATTAGGTGCTAATCACTAGCTAATCACTATTAGGGTTTAAAGGGTTGAAGTGAAGGTGGTTTTTGTCTCGTAATAATCAATGTTGGAATCACGAAACCAAAGCTACAGGCAGCTGCCTTTTTTATGTATATCTTATCTTCGTAACCAAGACAAGAACATTTTATCTTAAAATCTTACAAATGAAAACGAAAACGAAGACTAAACAGAGTGGAGGATGACATTACTGTAAAATATTTCATGATGAGTAAGAAACTGCGGAAACTAATTTGAAATTTGCTTCATTAAAAATTGGGAAACACGACAGAAAAAACGCAACAAAGCAAAGCATGAAAAACAGAAAACATTTCCAGAGAGGAAAAACTAGCGTGATAACAACTCACCCCCACTTCCCACCAAACATGTAGCGCCTCTTTTGCCTAATAAACAATCACTTTAGATTTTGTAAAAACCAAGCGCCAGGTATATTCAAAGTGACCACATTATGTGACCATATATTTTTCGTATTAATTAGAACCACTTGTCTCATTAAGAAACTTCCACCACAAAAATTGTGAATCAATTTTCTTTTTCTCCGCATTAATTTCCCTTAAGTTCCATTGCATAACTTGAAGTCATTAAGCAAAGACTAATATTGCAAATTAACGCATGCAAATGTCTTTTTTTAATAAAACAAAGGCGTACCGTGGAGTTATTGACCAGATGACAACCTTGTAAATGATCGTGAAGATTACAAAGACGCCGTTTTTTCTCTTAAAAATGGGTACGACCACAATTAAACACTCCCACCTGCACAGTAGTATCACGAAGCTGAATATTGAAGTTTCCAAGTTTAGCTCATAGTTCCAACTTACTGTTTGCAATAATCCAACGTAAGGGAAAAATCGGTCGTCTTTCAAATCCAAATTTTCTTGGTTTTAAATTAGGATCTAAATTTTAAGGCGGAGTAACGATGTTGTTCCCCATGAATTAACAAAAATAGCATTAATGAAAAAAGAATCACGTGTTTCCTCGAAACTATTGACATCACAAGCTTATACAGAGGCGATGCATTTGTAACAGATGTCGGGGCGAAATTAAAAATAAAGCAAGATTTTTTCGCAAGCACCGCTAGGCCTCAGGGCTCACTTTTTCGTTTGGAAGACGTGTCAAATAGTCTAGATGTGGTATGATAAAAACGCCTTCGCACACATGTTATTCAACACATTTAAATTGGGGTCAACACCTCTTATCAATAAAATAATCAATATCTCTTAGTACAGATGCTTAATTCTGACCGACACCAGTCATTTTGAAACTTTTTTCTCTATTCCGTTGGATTCCTTAGATTCCGGCCTTGCTGTTGGATTACTTGACGATAATATTATCCTTTCTTTGGACGTTTCTAGTTTTACAATGTTTTGGAGGTATTCGTGACATTAATTTTTTGCGGTAATAAATTACCAAATTCCGTGCTGCGAAGAGTACCCAATTACAATCACCAGCGCGCGAACAGCTGTTGACAATTTCGAGTGAAATTATAAAAGAGCGCAGAACTGGCCAAAAAATTATTATTCATTGCTTTAGCTAATACAAGCCCAACAAAGCATTCCTTTGGCTACAGCCAGTGACTTGAGTTTGACCATGAAATTCACTAGGGTATTACTCCTTCTCTCACTTGTCGCCTGTTTGTTGGCACAAGTTGAGAAAATCTCCGCCGACTCTCTTTTGGATCTGATGAGTAAGTATTGTACAGAAGTTAAAACATATCCATACTGTAAATATCATTCTGGTCAAAATATCATGAAAATTGTTAGCGGGTATCCAGATTCAAATAAAAACGTTTTTATAAAGAAGCTTCCCTTGAAAAAAATTTCCCCGCTTGCCCCTTTAACCAAAGAACGAAATTTTGCAGGAAACTTTTCCATAAGGAGGGTTACGAGTGTAGATTGCATAACGAGGGTTTTTTTTTGAGAAATTCATATGGGTGTAATCGTAATTATACCACAGGAATTATTTCTAAACGAGAACCATAAATAAGTTTTTAGTTTTTTATTTTTCAGTAATGCATACAGGGAACAAACGTTCCTTAATAAGTACACTTTCCACGGAAAACTTGAGATTTTTCTTTTCTTCCAGAAGTACAAAAAACAAGAGAACTCTTGACTTTCCTTTCATTCAAATATTTTCTGTGAAACCTTTGCAATATGCTGAAATGAACTTTTCGAGAGTCAACAAGGGGCAAATTACATTTGGAAACAAGTTATTGCAAATTTAGTCTGATATGTAGGCTTTCACTTTGAAGCAGATACAACGTATATTGCTGACGTACCTGATCCACATCTATGAGTCTAATTACAAAGAAAACCATAAAGTGTAACAAATAAGTGTTTTTAAGGAAGCGGGGAAGGGGGGTGGGGACATTTATGCCATGCCAATCATTGATATACAAATACCCCTCAGGTAACCCCTTTTTCTGCTTTGGCGACGTAATTTCAAATTCCTTTTGAGAAACCTCTCTGTAAGTTTTTGTGGTATTGCATTGTTTATTGCAGTAAAAACATCGGATATGTTATAAACTATCCTTATCTCTGTTATTACTGAGGCCTTTCTGCATCCATTTTTCTTGTTGTTTGTTTCTCTGTTGTTTTGTTTACTTGTTGTTTGTTTATTTTCTTGTTGTTTTGTATGGTTATTTTTTCAGCCGCTGACACAGGCAAGGATACCTCTGAGGATATTACAACTCGCAATTTGAGCGGTAAAAATTGACAACCAATTCTTATATCAACATTTTATGTTATTTGAATTTTTTTTCGCTCTAGTTCTCAATAGACCTTATCATCTTTTATTTACCTCGATATTTCATCCTTCACAGTGTCTGTCGTGTGGAATCATTTCGTGACAATTAACTCCTTCTTAAATACTGGTTTGTGATCAGATCGTCGACTTGGTTCTCTCTAATTGAACCTGGTACTTGTCAAACGAGCCAAAGAGTTTTTCCTTTTTTTCAACAGTGAATGTAAAACTTTATCGGCAATAGAGAATTTTAATGTCTCATTTTTCCTTTGATTAACCCTTCACACCCTAACATCAGTATGCACTTTCTCCATACTGTTCTCTATAAATTTCCTAAGGTGCTGACGAGGAGAATTTGTTTAACGATCAAGAACTTTTTTAGTTGATGATCATTTCCTTTATTCCCATGACATTCATGTGTGATTCAAAGGTGATTTTGTAAGGAGAAATTAGATATTAGATACTCTTAGGGGGTCGAAAGGTTAACAATGCGGAAGACTGCTCGGGTTTCTAACGGTGGACAGAAAGGAAATATTTCACGTATGTTCAATTGCCAGAAGCTTCATACTTATATGTTATTAAGTTCTCTTAGGAAATAACAACAACTACGATCCATTTTCAATTTTTTTTTTACAACCATTCTGTCCTTTTTCGCTCTACTTGCAAAAATTGTTTGGCTCACGCTTTACCTTATCTATCGCTGTATTTGCGTAATATCTACAAAAAATTTTAACTGATAAATTTTAATCGTTTTATTTTTATTTTCTTTCAGCATGCAAGGACGAGCACAGTGAAGAGTTTTGTGATCGGTTTAAATCATTTTGTGCGGGACATGGAGGAGTTAAAAATAAAGTATACCTGTGGCGAAAATGTCGCCGCACATGTGGAGTGTGCTAAGGAGGTAAGTGCCCCCCCCAGAAGACAGTCGGTAGATTGTTAGTGAATAGGTACACAAGAAAGAAAGTAAGCAGGTTAGTAAGTAAGTCAGTCAGTCAGTCAGTCAGTCAGTCAGTCAGTCAGTCAGTCAGTCAGTCAGTAAGTAAGTAAGTAAGTAAGTAAGTAAGTAAGTAAGTAAGTAAGTAAATAATTAAGTCTTGTCCCATCATTTTGATTTCTATAAAACTTTACCCCTATAACTTTTAGCCCTTTAGGAGTGCAGGCATGCATGTTTATTTTTTTCAGATGAGGATGGTTATAGAATTAAATACAAGAATGAAGTTAGAGCACAATAGATCCAAAAAAAGTCTATCGAAACTGTTATTTCTTTTCAGAATTACTTATAAAAAGATTCAAGCGATCATGACAAACAAGACTGACACTATTGACATGTGCCGAATCAATGTCTTAAATCCTACCAGTTAAAACTTATCCTCTACTAAACGAAGAACCAAAGTTATCATGATAAATGTTATGACGTTTTGTTTACCTGTAGGGATAACCAGCTGGAAAACAGCAAGGAAAGACACAATTTAAAAGTTTAAGGATGCAAAAATGAATGTTATATAATCGCTCGTGATAATTAAAAGTTATAACGCTATGCATCATTATACCTGGCTTATATTTGAAAGCCAACAGTGACTTGTCTTGTTAAAAATTAGTGATTAAAATTATTTATCTTGCATCACATGACTTCGTTGTGTACCTGCCCCTTCTTCGTCATTGTGTATCTGTGTGTTTCAAAATGGCAAGCTCAAATGCTGAAGAGTCCAAGCGCTATCAGTTATATCGAAAAAAGGTAGCCCTGACCCACCTAAACGCTTATAGCCACATGATAATGGTGATTAAAAATCTAATTAGCCCAAATTAAAATGCTAAAAACGCTTTCTAGAGAAATGAAAGAAGACCTTTACAAATAATAAGCTACTGCAACTTATCATTCCACTATTACGTCGCTTTACCATACTAGGGCATCGGAACACGCA